TCTCTCTCTCTCTCTCTCTCTCTCTCTCTCTCTCTCTCTCTCTCTCTCTCTCTCTCTCTCTCTCTCTCTCTCTCTCTCTCTCTCTCTCTCTCTCTCTCTCTCTCTCTCTCTCTCTCTCTCTCTCTCTCTCTCTCTCTCTCTCTTTACTCTGTCATTGGGGTCCCGCGACGTCTCGCTGAGTGAAGGCAAAATGCGTCGCTTGCTGGCACGGCGCAGGGGCGGGTCGCGTGAGTGAGATAAGTAGCTATGCTGCTGCTGCTGCTGCCGCAGCTTCCCTCCCTTCTCCTGCACGTCGCCGTAGCTTGCTGCTACACAGACTGGCTCATCGCATTCACGAAGGGGCTATCCGACGTCCTCGCACCTAAACATCCATTTCTGACGAGAGACAGACAAAGAGAGAATATCAGATTCCTTTCCAGAGTAATAAAAATTACGTTTTTCCTCGCGCGTGCATGGTAAGACTGTCATTAGGCACGCTGCTGGCTACGCGAGGTGTTCCCACGCTATCACAACATTAGTATGTGTATAGTATGTGTAAAAGTACGTGTGTATCGTCGACTAACAGAAACACCCCAGAATGGAAACTGTGTGATTGACAACGCACGATATTCAGTATGAAGCCTTCACAAATCCGCAAATGTCAGAGCAGCAGAAAATTCATTGCCGGTTCTGGACGTCACCGTCTTTCTTGATCGAAGATGCTCTAGAAACTCTCAATTGCTCCCGCTCCCACCCACATGCGTACCGACACACACACGGACACACACGCACACACACACATACCCGCACGCACGCACACACACACACACACGCGCGCGCGCGCACGCACGCACACACGCACACATACACGCGCGCACGCACGTAGTCGCACGCACACATGCACACACGTTCTTCACTTTACGATCTCTTACTGCAGCACAACACACAACCTAGCAGATTGTATGTAACTGTAACACCGACAGCTAGGCCCGGGATAAATACCGGCCGTAAATCACCAGCAATCAGTGTCCAGTATTTTAACACAAATGGCGAATTACGTTCGTACATCAGCCTACGGAGGCACGTCGCGTGCGTGGGTTCATAAATGCGTCGGCGTATTGCCCAATACATTAGAGGCTATTCGCAGTAAGCTATTCGCAGTACCCGCTGTACGAGCGTGAGGCTAACCCACGTCAAAATGGAATGCTGTTGATATCCTGTTTTTGGAATGACTTTAGAAATGATTGAGGGATGGATGCGATGGCCACTTCATCTTGAAATCTGTCTCTTCCTCTCGGTATATATATATATATATATATGTATATATATATATATATATATATATATATATATATATATATATATATAT